CCTGGACGGCTTCGTTTGCCCGTAAATCTCGAATCGGGGCATAATTACCAAAGCAATCCGGAATCTGCCGCGGATCAAGGCGGATCTCCTCGCGTATCCGGGTTTTGTCAGATCTTCTTGATAAGATTCAACCTCGCGGACGACGGTAAGGTAGAATCTATTCATTTTCATCGGTAATCCAGGATTCTGTTATAAATCAGTCTCCGAAATCGATGCAGGCTTATTTTGCGCCGGCGAAAGTCGCTTCGCAATACAAGCTAAGATAATTTAATATACATATATATATTATATACAATTATTTATTACAGCATTTTGTGCATTAAAAAATTTTTACTTGTTCTTATATTTCATCTTTAATACTATGACGTGTAATCAGAACTAGAATATCATTTATTTAAAAAAATTTTTTTGTAATTTCATAATGCACAAAATGCTGTAGCGATATCTAAAAAAATATAATTTATTATACTGACGCTTGTTTTGTAGAAGTAAAACAATGTATATGATATTTATTTTCGCTTCGTTAATCACGGAGCTACATTGCGCACAGTTCAATAAGAAACTATTTATTATTTAGGAAATGCGCTAAAAAATCTTCGACTGTGCAATTTTCCATCGATTGTCGAATAAATTGTCGGATAAAATCGAAACAGTGTTATCGAATAAACATGTATCATATTAAAAGATTGCAATTATATGTGTGCAAAGTGCCAATATGTAATTCGTGATGTATCACAATCGGGTTAAATCAAATCTACATTTTTAAATTAAATTATATTTTTTACGTAATATGATTCCTTTAATTATTTTGCGTATAAAAAAACTATTAAAATAGAAATATTAAAAAATCAATAATTTACAAGATATTTTGTATAATAAATATATGATTTTATTTTAAATAAATTTCATTCGACCTGATCTTTATGGTAACATTATTGGACTAGCAAAAGACTATTGAAAATAATTGGAAAACTATTCGAATATTGTATGTTATTTATTTCAACAGTTCCTTCACAACTTCAATAGTATTTTTTCACAAGACTATGTCAACTTTTAATCTTATCACCTGTAATAGTAAACATTTTATTAAAATATCTCGCGCAAACAAGTGCCTCATTTTCAAGAAGTCCACCGTACAAAAATTTATGAAGGTGGCACTGATACAAAAATCGGTGTCGAACAATCTACTGCTAGTGGCGTGATTTCGCGCCATTAATCTTTCTCCGACAATTAACCGACCGTAACGCAGCCGGCGGCTATTAATTGCAATCAAAACGTTATATCATACAACTGGCTGATACGGAATTTAATTTGGTATACATATTCGGCAGAAACATTTATCTTTAAAAATCATAACATAACTATTACATTCTATAAATAATAAACATACACATATGTGCATCGTTTGCAGTGTGAAAAAAATTATTAGCATACATATTCGTGTAATCTTTTCTTTGGACCGGACTATGCATGTTAAACAGGTTTGTAAAAAGGTAAAGGAAAGAAGCGAGCGTTTATCAGGCACCTCTTTGATCGTGTGTTCTGTTTTTTTCCGGCAGATGCCGGGAACATTCAGTATTTTTTTCATTGAAAGAATAGAAACTAGTGCTACAAGCACAATAATCTAATAGAATAATGTAATATATATTACACAAGAAATTTGGATATAAAATGAAATATAACATGAAATTAATCTTTTTGCCTAACGATTGATTAAAAATATTTAATCAAAATAATTTAATAAATCTTTAATTTGGTTGCGAATAATCAAAAGACATGGTATGGTAATTTGAAGTTAATAATAAATAAGATAATAAATAAAGATAATAATAAATAAAAATATATATAATAAGAAAAAATGAAACGAATTAAAAGTAATATCAAAAGATAGGAATAGTATTTTGAAGAAAGAGAGAAAAAGAGAGACCGCATGACAAAAGTTCTTTAGCAGCGAACTCGTGGAGAAGAGAGATCGAAGAAGGGCCGCACCCGTTGATTAGCGGATATCTTAATTACTGATTGGCTGCGCGGACTAATTAAATCGTAACTCAATCAGGAGTCCGACCTGCCTCCTGCGCCATGGCGATTTTACGAGCGTGTACGCGCGGTTTGGGGCCTCCACATACATACGTGAGTCGCTGATGGCGTATAGATGACTTTAAAGCTTTGAGTAATGCACTCCAACTACCCCCCTCCCTACCCTGCCCCTTTTACATATTCCTTCCACCGATCTTTCTCGCGCGGCAGTGTCTCTTTTTTACCTCACCTTCTCTCTTTGCACGCCTTCCTTTTTTTTTTTTCATCGGCGACCTCCTCGCTCTGAGGCTGCCTCGACGGCATTATATTCGCATGGAATAAAAAGTACAAGTAATTAGTAGTACCTACCGCCGCGTCTCTTGTCCGTTAAGCAATGTCCTTCGGATCCTCCTACTTTTCATTCATATAAACCATTCAAGACATGAATTTTCAATAGCAGATCACGCAGATGCGTTTTTGTACCAGTGTATGAGTGTCTTTCATTTCTTTGTATATGTGCAATGCGGGCCCGTGAATTTCGTAACGCGGCTCAAGACCCGTATATCGTTTTGCATTTAATGGCATATTTAAATTAACTGAATTGTTATTTCATATTTACATCTGAAATGCACTATTCTTATTATAGAAAATTAAATTTCATTATCAGATGGTCATGATCAATACTAGGCATACGGTAAGAATTTTATGTACGAGTACGATAACTCGTACTTTTTTCTGTCATACTCGAGTAGGATAGCAATTAACTTGCGAGTCAATTATAACTATAATTACGGTGGATCCCAAGAATTACGTCGGATCCTACGCATCTACAGTGTATCATGTATCTTATATATATAATGTATTAGGAATGTGATTTAGTTTTGAGTGTTTCGCAAGAGATGGCATTAATGTCAGTGTTAACGAAGACATTTCAATCACAGATTGTTTCTTCGTGCTTTTATATTACTCCATGATATTTAATCATTTATTAACAATAGACGCAATAAACATCGTCATTTGTCAGCTTAAAAATGGAGCTTTCTAAAGAGCATTTTCGACACACGATACTTTTATTTTTTAATCAGAAGAAAACGACGGCTGAAAGTCATAGAATTTTGATAGAAACTTATGATGAGGTTGCTCCATTAATTAAGACATGTGAATATTGGTTCAGTCTTTAAAGATTTATACCATATTATTTTATATTTTAATATGAAATAAAATAATTATTTTAACAGGTATTGTCTATCCTTATTCCATGTACCCATTCGAATAATCCTTTCGGTAGACGTTAAAATTTTTTATTTCCTGACAAATTGTTGGCGACAATACAATGACAACCAATAACAGAGTCATAAATATCATAAGATTTTTCATTTTTAGAACGCATAAACTTTAAGCAAAGGTCAGAGATAAAACAACTTCGTTGCCTTCAAAAATAAATTTGTAGAAATCCTTAAATGTTCAACAAGTCCATGAAAATTAGTACACATATTCTATTAGGTATTCCATGAAGATCAGTACATACATTTTACTAGGTATTCCTTGTGTATTAGCTCTTTATAATGACTAGTCTAGATGATTACGTAAACGGTTTAATTCATCAATATTTTTATTGTCAATCGCGCTCAAGGTCAGCTATGAAAATGATGTATAATTAATCAATTTCTTTAAGACTATAAAAAGTTATAGTCTTTAAGGATATTATAAACATTAATACATATAGCACATAAATATATCAATATTTTGCGTAATAATGAAACTGTGAATATTTAAGATAAATATTGTTTTATATTGTCCCCCATTTTATATTTCTCATTAAAATTTATTGAATTTAAACTTATATTAAATTTAATAATAAAAAATATTTCGTACGCGGAAATTACGTACAGCACAATGAAAGATGTCCCATTATAAACATAATATCTTAACTAAATTTTAACTAAATATTTGAATGTTTTAAATACGAAAGATATACTTTAGGCAAAGAAAAAATATTTAATAAAAGAAACTATCTGTTTAATTTACACAAAAAAAAAATTCTTTTTTAAATATATTAACTACCATATTATTTATTATTTGTTATTTTTGACAACGTTAAATTTTCGTCAGAAAAAAGCTTCGTTGTTTAGTGATATGTAAAAAAAAAAAGTTATAAATAAAAATGTGTTTGGATTTTGCTGAGATTTTTTCATTGATAGACTCTTTTTAAAATTGAGCGTCATTCATATAAATGACACAACAGTTCATTAAATAAATTTTTGGAGAGAGAGATCGTATGATTTAGAATAAAGATGTAAAAATAAGATATCGACAATAAATACAAGAAAAAGCGTAAGTAATGATTCTTAGCAAAAACGCGACTGCAAATACGGATCTAGGTCTTGTATATTGAGAACACTTTATTATTGATATGCGAGCAGTAGTAACACTGGGTAGTAAACGAATGTCTTAACTAATGTAAAGGATGGCAGAGACAAAAAGCGTGATATCAGTATACGTGAATTTTGTAACAAATTAGTCGGTATCGTTGACCACTAGAGCCTCGCGAAACCACCTCTCTTTATATTTATAATAGCAATCGTTTCATCATCCTGATCGCCTTTAGCGGGGCGGTTAACTGCTCCATACACGGAGCAATTAATTACGCGTAGTCTGCATTAATCTTTGCAAATTGGGACCGAAATCCTCGGAGTACGCCCTACAATTTATAGTACTCCTACGGTCATTTGATTGCGCAATAAAACCAATCGTCCTAAAACAAACGCAGATTTCTTTTTTCAACTTTCTGTCTTGGTTGGGTTGTAAACGAACGATAAAAGATAAGACCCTTTGTCACGAAATCATTATGTATACGTAGTGTTTCAATATAATTCTTTAATTGACGTAAATCAGTATGATTCGCAATAAAAATCTCGTGATTTCCTTTTATTTGAAACGCATGATTAATAATATATATATATATATAAATTTTTATTTCTGTCAAACATAGAACTAAAATATAATTTACTCACATTAATTGTTGACAGTATTTAATACTTTAGGTTACAACTGAATAATGTTAATTATAAAATTGTACAACAAGTACTTTAATTCTGTTTTTTATTTATTCGATCTTATCGAGGATCAATTTTTGCGCCTCATAAATTCTTCGGAAAGATATCGTCATCAATTCTTGCTCCTTAGATGTATACAACAAACGAATAAAGGACTGTACACCGTTTCTCCCTACTACACAAGGTAATGACGTAAAGATATCCTTTTCCAGTCCGTGTTGGCAGCCCTAAAATATATTTGACAATTTTGACTAAGAGAAAAAACAGTTGTTATTCACAGAAATATATTAATTTATATTTGCAAACATATTTACGTATATTATTAAAAAATTATTTTTATATTTATCATTTTCTTTTATTATAATGAATTAATGAATAAATGTTGTAATTAATATAATAATGAATATAATGTTGTAATTATATAACGCGATGGAAAAGCAATAAAAGATACAATTCTCAAAGTAATATGACTAAACATAAGCTTAATAGTTCTAATAAACTTTATCAATAAACCTTCATGAACGTAGAGACAGTAAAACAAGCACAAGTATTGCGCACGATAGCATCAACAATTTCGCCTGCACAGATTCCAACTGCCCAACTGTGATAGCCTTTCTTGAGAATCAATTCGTTATCGGTATTGACAACTTTCGCATGTAAATCGCCCCAGGATTCCGGATCCGTTCTTGTGCCGATCTCTTTATTTATATCTTTTAAAGGCATGCCCATTACCGCAACAGCGGACCAGACCGGTACTAACATATATATATATATATTAAAATAAAGAGTTTATATATAAGTGAAAATGGAAATTAGCAAAAATTAAGTATTTTGTCATAAAACTTTCGACTTTTCTTTTTATAAAACTACGAAGATTCGTACAAAGTCGGATTTTGCAATTTAGTCCTTAAGATATTGTAATAAATGAAATTATCTCTATTTCAATTGCACTACAGTACATATATCGAAATAAATTTTTATTTTGCTTTATTACGAATATCGTAATTACATAGCAATTTTCTCAATATTTTAGCTGTAATGAACAAAAATTCTTCGATAGATGTCTTCATCGTGTCTTTGACACGTGCCGATTCGTAAATAAAAAATACAGAAATATTTATTATAATTTACAATATTTTAACGTTAATTACCAGAAGCTGGTCCGCTCTCGCCAATGATTAACGCTTGAATCGCATTTGCTGAAAGTCCGAGTTTTTGAGCGATAAAATACTGAAATCTGCAGCTGTCTAGAAACGTTCCTAATCCTATAACACGATTTGGTGGAAATCCAGACAGCTTCATAGCAACGTACGATAGAATGTCAACTAAATAACATAATTAAAATAATAATTTATATATCATACTGTACTTGTGTAATGTTCAATTAAAATTGATCAATCTTGAATTATAATGTGTTTCAAATATCTTAATAGAGAAACATCCATGCTATTTATTAAATATATAAAATGCCCATTAGGAAAGTCAGACAATATATATGTGTAATTTCTAGTACGGCAAACACATTAAATGCATAGTAATAAGAGTGTACCTGGCTTTGAAAGAATGAGAAGAACGCTGTTCGGCGCGTACTTGGAAACATTAGGAATGACGTCCTTGAAAATTTTCAGATTATGCTCTAGATAATCGGCTGGCCGCAGATCTTCACGAGACTGGCTTCCAACTGTGATCACGCATACCGCTGCGTCTCTGGCACAAGCATAATCTATCGGAGCGTAATACACGTTGGATGATTTATCGCTTATCATAAAATTTTATTTGTTTTCATTTGTTTTGCGCTTTTACACGAAAGATGTATTTGTAAGAAAAAATAAACCTATTCTAAAAGATAAACCTATTCTCTCTATATTAAAAAATCTGGAAAGAATATAATATAATATATTATAATATAATAATTATGAAATACTCTGAAATTTTTATTAGCTTTATTCCCAGGAAGAAATAAAAATCGACGTCGATCCAATTTTTATTTCTCCCTGTATTAGCGATACTATCATTTATCAAGTGCTAATTAATTTCTAGATAAGCATGTCGCTTGTACGTTCATCTTACGGCACGTGAAATCATGCGTAATTCATCTTAATTTTATTAACATTCGAGATGTCATTCAATGCAGGCAATAACGCGGATGTTACCTCTGGCGCGGAGGTTACCTTATCGCTAATCGCAATCGCGCTATTTACTTATCGAACGTTAAAGCGTGGTCGTTTTGAAATAATTGCTCGTTACTCGCGGACAGTGTAATGACGGTCTCGCTATTTTTCTGCAGCCTCCTCCCATCGGGTTTCACCTTTGGTACCGACAATCCTGGGATTGCCGAGATATGCTGCCGCATGGCTGATGTCTTCTGCTTCCGCCTTGGCGAGATCCTCGTTCACATCTATAAGGACGAGCTCGGAGGCAAGGCGCTGCGAAAAAATCACAGAGGGATGAACAGGGTAGTAAGCAGAGAAGCTAGAGAGTAATTAACGGCAACCAGTTGCTGCCCAGCAGGCAGCGTTATTACGCGCTTCGAATCGTTACGCAACAAGAGCATCAGACCCTCCCCCCGGGAATCACATTAAAATGCGATTGAGTGCGCGATCAAACGCACTGTTTGCGAAGTCCCCTAATGCGAGGAATCGTTAAGATCCGATCAAGAAACAGTATTGAGAAGTGCGTTATTTTTGAGGGAATCCACTGTTCGTTTCATCGTGGTCGTCGTGGTTGCCGCCGGTGTCTGGTGACACAAACGATGTCTTGCGCAGGGCGATAACTCATTCATGAATAATTATGGGACCGGTACGGCTTCTTCTCGTCGGTTCCCGGGGACTACCGTTCGTCTTACCTCCGGCAGTCGCTACAAGATTTTCGGCCGTAGCGACCGTGTTCCTCATGAAATGTCAAACGAGCATGAAGAATGCTTCTACGACCCTCTGTCCACACGTGCTTCATTTTTCTTCCGCAATCATGGTTTCTTCGTAAATGTTGGCTATTGTTTCCCCATGAATTTTTTATAGTTTCATTAACGTAGCGTACACTAGGAATACCCAGGGATATCGTAACATTATATGAATCCGTGAAGTGTGGCAAATGGCACGGCAAACGAGTGGTATAATAAGGGACCGCTGGTAATCTATATTCGTTTTTGAACGATAGATCATTAAGCTTCGAGCGGTTCTAATTTGTGCAAGTTAATTTGTGGTATAATGGGATATTCGGACGATCATGTAAATCACCCCGTAAAAATTAATGGGCATTATTCTCCTAGGACTATCATATCGCATACCAATGCGTTTTTGTAGTAATGACGACGAATGTATATATTACATGATGTATGTTAACAATTTACGTTATATACACTTTAAGATGCTTGTATACGAACAGATGGACGTATTTCCTTCAGACAGATGGTGCTTTCACACTTCACGTTAAGACAAACGGCGGACTAACTACAAAACGACTTCTTAATATATTATGTTGAACTCTCTTGTTTCCGATCTATTATTGTACACCACTTAATTATCATACTTCATCAAGCGTGTCTTCCGAAAGGTGTAGAGTATCGTGAGCTGTTAAAACTTTTGAATAGATCCGTCACTTTTGTCTTACAACGATCGTAAGCATATAACTTTCACTTGCGGTTATTATATTTTTAATTACAAATACTTAGTAAATTTCTTTTTAATATTTTATATTTCTTCTTCTTTTTTGTATCATTTTTATTTGCATAATAAAAAGCTTATCAATTTCTTTTAATCGGATAGATACGTTTTCTTAATGTAGATAAAAATATTTTTAACATGTTCTTTTCAATAATGTATTACACAGAAAATTATCAAGAAATATTTCATACGAAAGAAATAATATTTGATTATTGGATTATATATTAATGTATATAACAAAATGTTAGACTTCACAATTTAATATAAAAATGTAGAAGGCAGAATAAATATTGCTAATCAGATTTTTGTCTTCTATACTGATCTATATTTAAATAATTGCATAGCTGTAAAAACAGTAACCATTGTAAACCAGAAATATTATTATTAGATTCGAAATGTATTTTATCAATGCCGAAATGAAGGCAACAGTCATTTTTCATTAATTCTTGAAACGTTTATTCTCGTCGTGATAACATATGATAAGTTTGGGAGCAAGTTTTAATTTCCTTATTTTACTGAATCACTTAAAAGCTCACAATCTCTCACTATCTGATACTCTGTCCGTAAGATGACATAACTACTTGCATATTAAATATCGATGTAGATATGGCCCAGGATATACCAACGAAGTACCTTTCGTTGAAGGTTCTGCCTGTATAATTTGCACAGCTTGATACGCGCCATCCAACACGGTGTGTCACAATGAGACAAGAAACGGAGAGAACAAAAAAAAAAGATGTCTGACGCGCTACAGTTGTGAAGAATTTGGGTAGGTTCTCAAGGTAGACGGCAAGCTGTAGCGATCGTATTTTCGTACTTTGCGATGATCTCGTTGATGCGATCTGCCATGCTGCAACGCAAAGTGCAGCAGCACGATTCGGTCATATCTTTCACTTTTTGCTCTTCTTCTTGAAATGCTTCTTCCCGTTTTTTTCCACAGCATCTTCGGCCGCCGAACGTTCCGGTAATCAGAAGATCTTCATGGTCATGTTGGGCAAGCGCCATCAAAATTTCGAGTTCCGTAGCTGTCTTAAATTATCTATATTGGCTAGAGCACAATTACATGTTTCATATATTTCTAATTAGTAGATGTTTCGAATTTTTGTAAAGACTGAGGAAGTCATTTGTCATTGTCAAAAGAATCAAGGAAGCGGTTTTTGAGAAAATCCATAATATTAATTTGATATGGAACGCGGGCAATTTTCCTCAAAAGCTGTTATCATGTACGATAACGGGTTCCCTAATATCCTAGTTATTCTCGGTACCATCCTGTTCCCTCCTCGATAATATACACGATAAACTCCACTATATATTATTTAGTCTCTCGATATACACCATAAGTCCGACCAACGAGAAGTCTATCGTCCGTCAGTTACGCCCTCCGCGTCTCACCGCATGCACACACCATTGTTTGCCCTCGTAAATTTGCGGAAACCGAAACCTAGAATTAGTCGCCCACATTTATTACCCTCTACCGAATGTACTCAACATATGGATACAACACTAGCTGTTGCACCTTGCAGCCCACAATGCGTTCCGTCTAACTGTTAATTTTCCTCCTTGATGCAACAGATACGAAATTATGCCTAAACAATACAATGGTAATATATGGTTTCATTTAGAATGTTACAAACAATTTCATATTTATCACATTTTCCATTATTACATAATCGGGGCTTGTTAAGACAAAAAAATAAGTCTATGCGCAACTGTTACACGAAATTTCTAAAAAGCTTCTAAGCACATCCTTTGTAAAATCTTGAATCAACGACTATTATATTGCAATACTATTTGTATTCGTTTCGCGAAGATTTCAGACGAACGTGTTATAAATTGCAGTCTCTCTTCATAGTTACTAACATAAATCAGTCAGTTAGAGCCGTCTTGCGGGGGCGCATTGGCCGACGTGTAAATGCTCGCGTTACGATCCGATAACGAGCGAAAGGTTCGGCCCACTTCTCTACATCTTCTATAGTCTTTTTCCTGCTATCTCCCTCCCTCTTTCGTGTTCCACCCTGCTCCTTCTTATAGCCGAATTCCCTCTTCTGGTCTTCCGTGGATCATTTGCATAATAGCCTTTTTGAGCCGGCACACACTAACGAGCCTACATTCAGGAGCCCCTGTAGACCTGCAGGTATACTCATGCACGAACCTACACACGCTAGGGCATTCCTTGGCTCGTCCTTTGTTGGGTGCAACTCGAGGGTGTATCTCCCGAGGTCCGCCAACGTGCAGCATTATATCTTTGATCCTCAACGAACAAATACGAATTACGTGCTCGAGCCATGTGGATACCGGCGCTATGTCTCATTCACTCGATATCATTGTGGACACGTTTAGATTGACGTATCGAGCACATTATCGTATCATCTAATGGAATGAGACACGGATCTATTACATACACGTGCATTAATCAATGTTGATACACCTTCGAAGTATATAAATTGTACATCAATGAAATAATAATATATTAGCATTGACGTTGACTTATATGCATCAGCATTTTTACGAAGTTAATAGTAATTTATGATATGTACTATTAATATCCAAATATTAATACTGTTAAAAAAAAAACAGATTATAAATTTATAGAGTTTGCATCCAGAATTACTGAACGAATTAATTTGTAAATAAATTTTTATACTTACGTAATATTTATCATAAAGATTATAAAAAGTATAACAATTTTTTGTTCATTATTCATGCATGTATCATCATATGCTTAATAAAAAATATGTGCTGCTATATTTTATCTAGTTAAAAAGTAACTTAATTATTGTTATAATAAAAATACATAGCATATATGCATAAAAAAATTAATTAAAAAATCAAAATGGCACGAAAGGTTAGAAACTAGAAAAAAATCGAAAATCCACCAACTTTGAATAGAATCGCTATAGCGACCGCAACACCCTTAGGCGCACTGCCCACGACAACGACCTTGACACGATGGCCATCCACAAGATGTTCTGCCTGTTTAGCCAGTAAAACAGTTACCGTGTTGCTGGCTACCTCAGGTGATTTCTTTCTCGTTTCGGTCATATCCGCGATACACGGATATTTTTCCACTTCGAGATATAACACTAAATAATTTAGACAAACCAAAAGTCGCTTGACATCGTGAATATTTCTAATTGAAATCACAAAATTTGACGTTTCGTCATTAAAATTTATATACGATAGGATACGTCTGGAAAAACAGACTGTCGAAAAAAATATCTTTGACAGGAGATGAATGAAGTTAACAACGGAAATGTAGCAAGTAGATTTACTGTCAATTTGAGATGGCTACATAAAATGGGATATGCAATAAGGTGATTATATTGGTTCTGTACAATCGAACGTGAGAGAACTCTCTCTGCCTTTCGTGTTCAACATACATATCTCGTACGCTCATAATGTACTATATGTACGAGATGTGAACCTCAAGTTATCTTGTAGCGGGAGATATACAATCCGATTAACACGTTCGATCACAGATGAAAAGATGCTATCGATAAATTCAATCGTGCCGTACAGAATCAATTATAATCGGAAAGAATGCTCGTTATACAAAAAGGTAAATGCTCGGGGCAGATGTAGAGACGAATCGCCAATTGGACGTATCGTTCCTATGATTTTCGTTTTTCTGCGGATAGAAGGTCGTAAAATTGATCGACAGCTGCTACGAAGCCGCACAGGTGGGATGCGCTGCGTTCCTGGAGAGATACTGCCAATTTGTATTTTACAGGATATTTGAGAAGGGATCAAAAAGCGATTCTTAGAAATCCTCATTAATTCAGTTTACTATTCTTTTTCTTATTATAAAAGTGTAATTCTGTATCATCCCAATAATTATACAATTTCTGCGATTAAAAAAATTACATATATATGTATATATAACTTTAAATATATAAAATACAACGACTTCACTACACACAACGAGATCTAAAACTAAAAAAAGATTGTAGTTTAAATTATCCAATCTCCTTTAGCCGCAACTCTCAACCTTATACTCGCCTCTCAACCTTATACTCGCATGCAATGGAGAGTGCATTTTCATCCGCCCTTTCACCTTTCCGCTGTACATCGTTCGGTTGCGTAAATCAAAATTCGATCGAGCAAAAAAGAAACGGTAATAAGCTCCGCACGCGTGGAATATTGTAGCGTGTACCGTTCGCAGGCAATCTTAGGAGAACGCGGCTGGTTTAATTTTCCAGGAAGTCGAGTTATATCGTTTATTATGACGCTCGAATGTACGCACGCAGAAAACCGGTTGCCAGGTGCAGCATTGCCCTTATTGATGAAGATGCATTCTAAAACGTTGTTCCTTCTCTCCACTCCCTTTCCTCTTCCTCGCTATTTCCGCGCCACGTATCCGTTCGTAAGTCCTTTACGTTTCTCGCTCTCCTCTTTTCCTCGGTCTACCGGTCGTCACTCTTCAATGTCGCTCGACTCGCGAAGAATGCCACACTCACGTAGCACACCGCGGATGCTGTCGGCGCACCGTTGTACCGCCGTCTTTTCCTGATCGTTCAGCTTCTGTCGCACCGTGGCGTACACACCTTCCCGACCGAGAACACAGGGTACCGACATGTACACGTCTTTATCGGTCCCGTGGGCACAACTCTGTGAACAGAGATTCCTCGATCTTGTTTTTCCTGTCGTGTCAATCGACACATGCGAATAAGCGCACCTGAGAACGCTTTTTTCAAGGTACAAATATACTTTACTTGTTAGTAAAGAGTGAACATAATTATAAAGTCGCCAAAATACAAAAAAAACGAATTAAAAAATTATCATTATCTTATAATTATTATATGCAAATTACTTTCTTTCGTGTTCGATTCCTAATTAATTATCCTGTAATCTATGTTCCAATTGGTATCAGAAAAACTATTATTGAATTTTTATACAACTCAAATGTGTCTTAGAATTAAATTAATGCACTTCTTTAATTAAACGTATTAAATCAATACGTTTAATTTTAGAGTAATATTAGCAATAAGCTATTAAAATCTATCTAAATTCACTCAATAATTTTACTAAATGTGTTAACTTGATTATATCTCTCACATGTATGTACGTCGACACTGGCAACACGGCTTTAGTATTCCTGACGATGGCATCGACGATCTCAGCGGTGCAGAAGCCGAGAGCCCAGCAATTCGGTCCTCCCTCACCCTTCTTCCGATTAAGCTTCGTGTCGCTACAAACACAACGCGAAGATTTTATTACTTCCTTAAATTTTCTCGGGAATATCCAATGATCTTAACCACTGACGTTTTATTTACAGCTTCGGAAATGTCACGCCACTTCTCGGGATCATCCGCCTCTCCCATTCGTGGGTTTATGTCTCGTATCTTCGTGCCCGCCACGTGAACGCTCGACCATATGGAAACTGTGAAACGATAGATGTTGGAAGGAAAGAGATGTCGTTAACTTAGGTCGTTTACAATATAACTATAGTATGTGTAATAATTTTCAGTATGAATAATATCTATGTAAAAATCACGTCTATATTTATAACGTTTAGAAATATTCCAATAGATGCAATTATTAGTGTAAAGATAGTATCTAGTAAAATCTTATCACCAACTACTATCCCGGCAAATGTAACTGCTATATAACATAAATACATACATTTTATATCTATATTATATTCAGTATTTGCTAGAATTGTATCGTGAATCTATGTAAAATTAGTCAGGACGTCAATCAAGTACCAGATGTGTCGCCCTGCGCACCGATAGTCATACAGTTGATTGACGTTCGCGCCAGTCCCAACTTCCGACTCAGTAAATCCTGAAACCTGCAGCTATCAAGCAGAGTCCCCGTGCCAAGCACTCTGCTTGAAGGAAACTTGGACAACTTCCAAGTGATGTACGACATCACGTCGATCGGTTGAGTCACAACTAGTAACACCGCCTTGCAAGCCAACTTTGCAATTATAGGAATGATCTTCTTGAATACCTCGATGTTGTGCTTAACATTCACCTCCTCTTCAAGTTTCTTTTCACAAACCGCAATTACTACGACTGTCGAGTCTTTTACTTTGTAGATATCTAAAATACAATCAATTGTAGATCGTAGATTATCGTGGAATGGTGATTTCTAGATACGTGTGCATTTTAATATTTTAGCCACATTTTCCTGAGAGAGTTAAGGTATAAATCGTTTCGAATCTTTAGAGAAGACACTATTCACGCGAAAGAAGCCGTAACGGGAAATAGCTTCGTTAAGAATCAGATACGCCTTTCCGGAGAACCTCTCGCCGGAGAACGACGTCTTTATTCAACCGCGCAATCATCAGCTCCTCGGAAGTGCGTGGAATACAAAACGACGACAGTGGATAAGAAATTTTCTCCCCTTTCGAACAGATCCGAGGCAACACCTTCACAAAATGTTTGTAGTAACACGCAGTGATATCGCAACTATACGGAAGATACATTTACGACGGAGAAAGATGTTGTTACAGATAAGTTGGCAAGCCTGTAAAAAAGTCGTCCCACTTGTTCCAGTAATTGCTACCTCGCACGAGACAAGATCAGAAGAATCATTCCGCTATCCTTTATAAAGGTATAAATACGGACGCTACGTGTTGTACGCAATGCCGAGAAAAGTCAAACAAACCGAAATCATTTCTAAGATCAAACGTGGTGCAACTCGATGAAACTACCCACGAGATCAAACCCGATCGTACTACATACTTTCCGTTACTGTCCTGGATTCCCACGAAGGATACAATGCTTTTATAACCAGCCGCTCATCGGACGGGGTAATCGCGCACCGTACGCACGCTGGAAACAGAAACAGAAAACCGCGTCGTGGAGCCGATCACGGCCAAGATAAATAAGAGTGGACGAGATTTACGAGAGTGTCCGTGAAAAGCTCGGGGGAAACGTTCGTCCAGTTCACCAGCGTATAAACGGCCGGCGATGTAGATGAGAGTAGAGATTAAAGGACAGGTTCGAGGGAATTCTTGGCCTCCAAAACTTGCTGCTAACTCAAAACCTACCTATGCGAGAACGTTGTTTCTGAATCGCTGCACGTTGACAGAGACCCCTTGACGGGCAACCTAACGGATCGTTGATTTGAAATGGGTGTTGATCGGAGCCGATCGTGACACACTGCAGGTAACGCTCGGCGGATTCATCAGTTCGGACGTATCAATCTAAAATTTCTGGAATTTGTGCTGTCGTGAACTGCCTCGCACCTAACGCGCGAAAGGCCTACATCGTCTATGGACGTTCACGACTCGTTGATTTCGTGATTAGAGCACGACGACGAGATCTAAAGTGTTAACCGCTATGACAACTCTAACACTTTATCTGACGCAGATAATGTGACGAGACGTTTCGTGTAAGGATGATATATGATCAGAAGCAATGAGAAGAAGTAGAGTTGGATAGATATAGATATTGTATAACTGATATAGATTTTTATTTATTGCTATCATATAATATTTAATATGTATCTTTAGTATGAAACATACCTGATGTGCCAACTACCAGAGGGCATCCCAGAAAGATACCAGCATGCTGAATGTCCTCGGCTTCGGCAGAAGCTTTGTCTGAATTTTGATCGATCAAACAGATCTCACTCGCTATATGCTAAAAGGATTACGTAAAAACAATTAATCAAAGCTTGAGAGCTATACAGGGTTTATCCCAGGCTTTCCGTACAAACTTTAACAAGTATGTTTTATGACTTGAAATAAGAGAAAAAGTATTATATAAACAGAGATACTAAAATACTTTATAAAAAATTTTCATATATGAAGGTTTCCTCTATCCTCGCAAAAAAGGTGATAAATTCAAAACTATATCGATTCAAGCTGATTTACATGGATAGATCTCACTTTAAAATCTAAACCTGTTTCTTTAAAAAGTAAAATTATTTCTTATACATTTCATATTTTTGTTATAACTTTTTAATAAAACATTTTAAAAGTTATGTTTGTATAACATTTTTTCTTATTTCAGTTCATAGAATACTGTTAGAGCTTGTACGAAAAATTCTGAAACACTCTGTACATAATAGCTTTATACGAGATGTATATATACAGACTCTCATCAGAATTGCGATAGCACAAGCCATTCCAACTTTCCTTGCACCCATGATCGAAATTTTGACAGGATGCGGATAGGCATCGCATGGTCCCAGTTGCGTCGTTATTAAAGCATTTTTCGTAGTGGTTATCGTGATCGGAGTTTTATCAGCCTATTAAACATACGTTGTCCTATGCCGTAACTATGCCTACTTGATAATCTACATTTTATATCGATAGAAATATCTCTAATGTCATAAACAAGCGTCATTTGTCTTTCTAGATTTGAATTCATTTAGTTGACGAGATACGAGAGAGCATTATCCCCGTCTTACATCATCGCATTCGGTTTCATCTGGCACTTTGCTGTCGGCATTGCTGTCCCCTAGGATATCACCCCTTTTAGATGTGTCAGATCCATCGTCAGCCATGCTCCAGTCGTTGCTGTTAGATTACCAAGCAGCTGCATGAGCAGTACATTTAATGAGAACACGATCCCAGTCGTCTGTGTACTTTAGTAACTATGTGTGTAATCGCACCCTGTTCGTTCGAGATGTATTAACGCTTTAGATGTATCAACCGTGTTGTTTCATCATCCTTATTACCTCAATCGCGTGACTTCCTTTTCCTTGTGTTATTAACTTCGAACGACGCGGTGGTCGCAACTTCTCACTCGAGCTTATAAATGAATAGCGGTCGAGTCGGTGCTCACGCTTATGCAGATCCGGATCGACCTACGCAGAAACGAGTCATCGGTTTTTGAGGTGAATCGGGTATATCGCCGTTATGAGGAAGAGAAAACGTCCGCGAAGAAGAGGTAACCGCGCGCGGGGAGATTCCGATTGGAAGAATAACGGTGGAACTTATCCGCGCACTTTGCTGTAAATTAACTGCAGGTAGTCGTAGAAACGCAAGTAACTCTTCGTGCCTCCCGTCGCGTCGGTGTTCCATCGGTACGCTCCCGCGGCACATATACTCGCAAACATACCCTTGCACGTGGTTGCGTATGCGTGTACACGCGTAAAACACTCTGCTATACCGAGACCTATTAGTTGATCATAGTGAACGAATATGATTTTAATGACTGTTCCGAATGAAATAATTAATCCCTATGGCATACCTACATACTAAATCACACGAGACTTTCTCAACCGTTTCCACATGAAGGATTTCTAATAAAATCCTGAAAATAGATTTTTCCTTAAAATGAAATACTGCCGACTAGGATGAAACTTTAACAGCTAATAATGATGCAAAAGCTCTACGTAATATATTTTATATGTCTAATACATTATACGCCCTCTTAACGTTGAGCGCGAAAACTAAAGAATTTTATTTATCTTTTCATCTTACATTTACATCAGCATTTAATAACTTAGTAATTATGCCCGATGAAAATTTATGTAAAGAAAAATCATACGTGGCGAAGTCTCATCCAAGTTTCACGAGAAAAAAAATCGTCTAATTTATCATATATGTTCAAATAAGTGGACAGGAGATTATTAACGTCACCTTGTTATATTATTTTCGAGACAGGCCTAAAGACTTCGGGCAAACCATAATAAAAAAAAAGGAAAAAACATGTGATGCTATATATTCTTCCAAATGTACGCGTTGAAAGTAACTCCTTGCACCTCCGATATAATACTCGAGCGACAATCTTAACCATCTGAAAAGGGACCAGTTAAAAAAGTAAAACTTTTCCATTTACTTTGGTGCCCGCAGATAAATCATACCCACTGCATTTAGGAGTAGCGGGCGAGGCGTTCCCGGTAGTTTGGGCATCGCGAAGTTTTAACACACATTCGAAGATGGATCTGCCTCTTGAGAGAGGTCTCGTTTTTCGCGCGTGGTCCATACGACTGGTCCGATCCCGCGCTCACGGACACATTCAATTTTAGCGTTAATAATTGTCGGGAAAAATGACGACCTTAAACGTGGCCATTCATCAGGGCCGATCGATATTGCGAATGCGCCTTAACGACGGAGAGATACCATCGGCCGTCCCGCTACAAAGTTATTGAATCGCGTCAAATAATATACGAGCCAATAATGTATGAATAGTCCTGCAATTATGGCCCGCCGATCGTATCTAAGGGCATGTTGTAATTTAGTAATCGTTCATTCTCACTGCGCCGGACGGAGAATCGACGAATATCGGTGGATGTCGATTGCGGGAGTATGCGATTTTGTTCCACAATTCCAAATTTTAGTTTAGGAAAAGCAATTTCTATAATTCGCACAATTCGATAAAGCAATTCCCCGCTCTCTACGATTACTCGCTACATCATCTGATTCTCTTGCAGCGGCTATCTCGCTAGGTTGCTGTAGGTTTGTAATAGGATAATATGTTTTCTATCTTTTTAATGACCCCGTGACACTTGTAACCATTCATAATGCCAGTTAAAATCGGTATCTACCAATTAAACGATTTCCTAATAACATCCATGCCGGATCGGGAAGATGGTAGGATCGGAGGTGAGGAAGTAATTTCGAATCTGACATTTATAGTTAAGCGCCGTGAGTGGGAACGAAGCGCCCTGCTTCCAGATAATTAATTCTCTACCTTAATTAATCATATGAATTTTATCGAACGTCGAGGTGAAGAAACGCGATGCGAATTGATACAATATCGTCGTAGGAATTTTCCTATATCTATGACAAAGTCTGCCGACTAATGCCAGTATATGTTACCAATTCTCGCGTTTCAAATTGCTATTATAATTCTGCAATACCTTAAAATGTATTGATGCGAAAGAGGTCCCCGTACGAAGACACGAATCGATCGTGATAAAGGCATGATTCGACGATAACAATGTCTCGTAAGGTAAGATTTAGTCGAGTGGACGGTGCAAACGAGTCCCCGCTTACCGCGGAGATAATCCTCGAAGGTTGGTCGTAAGCAACCGATCTTCTGGTACCCAGACCCAGTCAACCGATCCAGACACCGGCTTGCGCATGCCTTCGGTGCACAATGGTAGTATTGCAGCTGATACAAGTATGTTCGCCGTGCAACCGGAATTTTAATTGGCTATTTGTTTGTCCGCTACACTTCGCAGAGCTGCTATTGTCCGCCCTGCCGCAGGAGAACGACCATCACCTCTCCTCTCTCTTTCCTTACCTCGTCCCTTCTTCCACACCCTTTCCATTGCTCGTGGTCGTCGCTTCATCGCCCAGTATTAATCTACTTTTAAGAAAGGAAGCGTTTCACGCACATATATATACACGCTATCACGAGATCGCTCCCTTAATGTGTTAGAATTGTTTGATTTAATCCTTGAAATTGGAAATCTTTTCTCCGAGCACAAACCGATATAAAAAAAGATTGGAAATTAATTAAATTTTTCAAATCAAGGGCCATTACTAAGTTTTATATATTATATAGTTTCGTTGTTTACAAAACAATCTGGTATTCAATCAAGTATTTTATAATATTATTAATCAATATATTAATAAATACTGCTTCATTTTAATACGATGTATACACATCATATGTATACATTTATTAAACCGATTAATGATATAGTATAAAAAAATGAAGATTTTATTATCTTTAAAAAGTTCTTGTCTAAATGCATTATTTAACATAATTTCTTATCTCTTTACATTTTAAAAAATTTCCGACTCTTGCACCTTTTACGCTTATTTCATAATTTTAACTGTATTGTATTAAAATATATTATGAAACCATTCAATTTTATGTTCGTATATTTCTATGCCATATTGATCATTTTGATGATATTGCTTCTATTTTTTAATCTTTATTTTTCTCAATGAAAAAAATAAGTCAGCAAGCTGCAGACTGCCACTCCACTTAATCAATAGTGCAAAAACAATATAGTTCAACTGTTCGAAAGCGTAGAGTTCCTAAAAGTAAAAACTGCTACCTTTACTGTAGACAGAGACCTGAGCTCAAGATAAGGAGATTGAATGACCCAACATTAAAGAAGGATGCTGCGCGAGAGATCATGCCATCGGTACTCTCGGAAACAAAGCTCGATGAACACAAAATCGGCAGCCCAAGAAATATATTTTATTGATTTTTTTGTGCATCTGTTGCATTGATTAATCGCAATGTTATTTATAAGACTTCGAGATTCATTTTCGCCACGGTAATTATGGACCATTTGAATGGTCTGCGCGATGGGGTTTTCCTTTTTGGAGATGTGCGTGCGTTCCAGCGTAATCTCACCAATGATCACGTACGATATTAAAAATTTGCCAGCTCTCGGCTTTCAATCGAACGCCGGAGATCTCGGAGCACGGTCGTAGGAGGTCGGGGCTTACGTTACGTATCCGGCCACGTACGTACGACCCCCGTGGCTCGCTGAAATATCGTACGGACGCCGGTTCATTTCGATATTCTTGGCCCTGGGGCCCCGATGAGGAGAACTCTTCTCGGGATCGGGGCGGCGGAGGAGGGCCAGCAAGAGACCACTCGTTTTATTACATTGCATCGGGAAGGGGCGAGGCTGACGCGCAATTGTTTATGCCCATGTCCCGCCCTATCGGACGCATCGGACACATTCGAACATACCTACCACGTATACGCCGAGTCTGCTGCATGATGGTGGTGGTGAACGGACGTGGTGCGCGCGAACTGTGTACCCTCTCGTCCGCAACTCTACCGCACTCCTCTCCGTACTCCTCCTCTTTGTTTCTTCGTTCGGGCTAAGATTATTAATGGCCAGACCAAGGTCCGATACCCCGAAGTGTCAGTCTCATGACAATGACGAAGCTCGCACCTCGAGTCCACCCTCTCTGTCTTCTTCCTTCCACTTCTCTCTTCGTCTGATGACGAGTACTGTGCGTTATCGCGTGTGACTTCGATTGACGCCGTGGGTTATTGCAATGGAAATGGTGCGATTTGCAACGCACCAGAAAAACGCGCGAGATCGTACAATCAGCTTCTCGTGCATCATTGTTATTGCTATTGTGCGATTTGTTTCACAGTTTTAATAATATTAATTATCTTATATATAGATGACAATGAATATTTGTTAAAATTTTAGTTTGCATTAAAATGGCAATCTTCTTACTAAATTAAATTACGTAAAATTGTTAAATATTGTTAGGAAATTATATTCACAAAAATATTTAGGCCTATTCACTCCATTCAGGTATGTACAAATATAGAGAAAAGAAAGAATAATATACGTGCGCTTTAAAATTGTAGCTTAGGCAAACACTCAGGAGAGAGAATGCAAAAAAGGAATGGTGCGAGGATCAGCTGGCAGATGTTCCCAAATGATATCTATATGAGCGAGTAGAGTATTTTGAATGACATCAATGGTAGCAGGTGCTGGCTATCAGATCGTCGAACGATCTGATTTAAAGCGGACATATAGATCATGAGAACACAAAACTGCTTTATTTTCTCTTCAAACAGACGAACTTAATCTCACATCGAGCCACATTTCTAGGACCTCCCAGGATACACGTCAGGTGAAAGGAAGTGCACCGCAAAATTAAGTCTTACGCATCGTGATTTCATTTAATTAAACACGAAATAACACCGAATGTAAAAATTGCTCAGAAACACGAAGCAATCAATTTAACTTTTGCAAAGAAAAAAAATGCAGACGTCAAACCTGCGGCCTCCGTTCAGTAATAATTAATACCGAAATTCGGTGGTACGCGGATGGAAGCCCGAAAGAGAAGGTGAGGAGAGAAGGTAAAAAGGTAGTTGGAAGCGATGCCGAGACGAACGAGTCGCACGGGCGACAAAATGGCG